GAGAAGTCTTCTCTGACTGCCCCATATAAATGCATTCCCTTTACTCTGCTTTAATTTTCTTCCTACTTTAATTTTATTCACATATTAGATATTTTTGTGAATGCGTTTCTTGTCCATCTGCTCTCACTAGAAAGTAAGCTTCCTGAGGATGGGGAAGTTGCTTTGCTCATGGGTATATCTCCAGTGTGAGGAAAGATGCACATTGTAGGTGCTCAGCAAATTATCTGTCAAAGAATAAATGTCAGGAGCCCTCCAGGTGGATAAAGATTATTAATACAAATATTATTTAAGGGTGAGCAGAAGCCCCCGCATTTGCACCGTAAGTGCAGTGGAGAAAGCTATTTTAACACAGCGAGATGTCAATCACATTACCACCAAATGTGCTCACATCTCAAACATCACGACTAGAGATGGGCATTTCTATTGTAAAATTTTATAATTCTTTTCCTTTCATTGACTGTCAAAATGAACAGTTTGATGTCCAACTCTATTTATGTCTTTTTGAAATAATGGAGATGACTTTCATTGCATGGGTCTTAGTGACAGCTTCACCAAGCATCACATTACAACTGAAAATGCCTTAGATAAAACTACTCTTTTTTAAATTTATTTTTAAATTAAATTTAATTTTTTAAAGCTACTTTTAAAAAAACATTTCATTTTGTATATACAACATGATACTGTTATAAGATACATATGTAGTAAAATAGTTAATTTATTGGAACTACTTAACATATCCATCATCTCACATAGTTACTCATTTCTCCCCCCTGTGACAAGAACAGCTATAATCTACACAGCAAAAATTCTGAATAAAGAACACCTGTTAACACCTGTTATAGTCCTCACATCTCCTACATGAGGTCTTTCAACTTGTTCATCCTGCATATCTGCTACTTTGTATCCTTTGACATACATCTACCATTTCCTCCCCACCCCCACCCCAACCTTGGTAACCACAGGTTTATTCTTTGACCCCCTCTTTTTTTGTTAGATTTCACATGTCAGTGAGATATGTAAATTTTTCTTCCTGTGTCTGGCTTCTTTCACTTAGCATCATGTTCTCCAGGTCAATCCATATTGTAGCAAATGGCACGATCTCCTTTTTTTTTTTTTTAAGGCTTAATAATATTCCATTGTACATACAAGTATACTTCAAAAAATTCATGGAAAAATAGATTTTGAAAGATAATATAAATCCTCTGATGAACTTTTTGAAGTACCTTCCTATATACCACAGTTTCTTTATCCATTCGTCCATTGATGGACACCTAAGTTGTTTCCATATCTTGGCTATTGTGAATAACGCTGCAGTGAACATGCAGTGGAGATATCTTTACAAGGTAGTGATTTCCTTTGCTTTTGATACATACCCAGAAGAGGGATCGCTGGACCCTATGGTAGTTCTATTTTTAATTTTTTTAGGAGCCTCCACGCTATTTCCCATAATGGCTGCACCAATTTACATTCCCACCGACAGTGCACAAGCATTCCCTTTTCTTCACATCCCTCCCTTACACTTGTTATCTCTGTCTAGTTTTTTTTTGATAACAACTATCCTAACAGGCGTGAGGCGGGACATTATAGTGGTTGTGATTTGCATTTCCCTGGTGATTAGTGATGTTGAGTACCTTTCCATGTACCTGTTGGCCATTTTTATGTCATCTTTGGAGAAATGTCTATTCAAACAGATAAGGCTACTCTTATCTCCAGCTAACAGGGTTTCTCAAAAAGGAAGGCACCTGCCTGAGCTACCTTTGAGCCACAAATGGATCATGTCAGTGGATCACTGGGGCACTTACTGCTGGAGCAGGTGGCTTCCTTAGGGCTGGACGACATCGGCTGTGCACAGAGTTGACAAAGGCAGTCTCTTCCATTGAATGTGACTCGGTCTCCGGGTGGAAACGGGCGCCTGAAGACAGGAAGACATTGCCCTCAAGGTTATTCTAGCAATTGCACTCCTTTCCCTTACTCCTTTGCTTGCTGCCCTCTGGTGCAAATTTACTTCTTAGAAAAGCACCAGTCAAAATGTCTGAAATGTAGTCAGAACAAAGCCAGCCAGCTGGATATAGTCCAAACAAACAATTGTGCCTCATTTTGAGAAGAAAAGAGAATAGACTGTTTCTATGGGCAGTTGAATAGTAAAATGGAATGATTTACCTCCACGTATTACCGGAGGGAGGTCACCACAAGTCACCCAGTCGGCACACAGACCAGTAAAACACAAGTCACCTAGCACAGAACAGTAAATTTCCAACTGGAAAATCCTTCATGAAGGAATAATTTAAATGCCATGAATTCCAACTGAAGCTCACGGCCCCTCCCCAAGAGGACTGGTTACAGGTCAAGCATTAACTCTCTCAGTTTTCTGGGACTGTGCCTAGAGCTCTGTGATAATTATGCTGAATTAGACTTTGTCCTGGACATCTGCATGGGTGAACTGAATGTTTCACAGTGCTGGAGACCCAGTTCTTTATAAGCTGGGAGAAACAGTTTAAGAATTAGTATTAGCTTCTTTTCAGAAAGACAATCTCCCTTTACATGAGGCATTCATCAATCACAGCAGTTTTCAAAAATAGTGCCTTTTGCATATAAATTAACAGTTTCTTCAAGTTTACTAGGCAGACAGCCTTAAAAAAAAAGTCATTAATTAACAGACATATGACGGTTTCCGTGACTGCTTACTTGTAATTGGCCAAGTTTCCAATAATCTTCATCAACATGAGTTTTCAAATGTGTGATGCTGTCACTTAGGAAATGTGAAACTCACAAGCCAAACATCACCACAAATCTGAGTCAGAAGCAATTACTTAGGAACAAGTTCAAGCTTCTTGACATTAGTTTTACTTTCACAGCTGCAATCTCTCCTTTAAATCACCCCTTGGTTGCCTAACAGTTGGTAATTACCTGTAACGAACACACAGGTAAATCTGGACTTAAAACAACTCCACAAATGTGCTTGGTTCAAGTCATCAAGGAGAATTTTAAGTTCCTACACTCCAAAATTTAACAAGTCATGAGGAGAGGTGGTGTCCTCTCTGCTCGTGGTGCTGTGTTACTTTCCTTTGTACAGAAAAGGCCCTGAGAGGTTAAGTGACTTGCCCGGATTGACCAGCTAGACAAGGCCGCAGACAGGTTCAAATGGCATCCACCAATTCAGAGCTTGCTCTCTCTCTAATAAACAAAATCACACTCTGGTGGATGCCAGTGGGCCCACTGATTCACAAGCATTAATTAAAACTGAACAAGCCTCAAATCTTTTCTGTAAGGAGGTTGTCAAGGGGTTAAGGGCCCATCAACACAACAAGCACAGGTTCTTTTGCCTCCGATCAGGCCAGAACCCAGGTGAGGCAAGCGACCCACCTGGGGCACACTTAGGGAAGCTCTCATTCTCTGGCACTGACCCTGTACTTGCACGACCCTGAGAATGATCCCCTCTTTACATTCTCACCATAGGTGCCATGCTTGCCGCACCCTGTCCAGGCCCTGCTTCTAATCCAAGCTTATGTTTTTAGACCGGAATCCCACACAGACGCTCTATGGGACAAGCCAGAGTCTAGCTCTCTATGTGGGGAGAGAACTTCTGAACCTTGAGTTTTGTTGTTTTGTAAATGACCCTTTTCAGTACTTTCCTCTCTCCCTATGTCCTCTGTCCATACAGGTTCACTCCCTTCTGTTNCTTTTCAGTACTTTCCTCTCTCCCTATGTCCTCTGTCCATACAGGTTCACTCCCTTCTGTTATTTGTATGCATGTTTGTAATAAAAAGAGAACAGGATTTAGAGTCAGTAAAAATCTTAGCTTTCCACATTAACGTGGGAGAGTCTCTTAAATGCTGAGACTTGGAGTCACTCATAAGCAGGGATATTAATTCCTGGTTGACTTCACAGAACCGCTAAGAGAGTTAAATTAAATTCTACATGAATGCAATTTGTAAACTAAAGGAGACCCCAAATCATGTAGAAGTATCATTACGCAGCAGCGGCACTCTAGTAGCAATTTAGAGCACCTCTTTCCCGGCTCAAACATCCAAGGACAGGGCTATATGGTTAGTAAATGTTTGTCCATCATTATATCAACTTTAAAACAATGATCTCTTAGGGTCAGGAACAGAAGGGTTCTCAGAGTTTACCTGGACCAGGGCCTTCCCACCTGGCTGAGTAACATCATACTTGGGAACCCTCCAGAAACTACTAAATCCGCATGTGGGTTTGTGGGTGGAAACAGGCCAGAAGTGGATACTTTTGGAGACCCATCCACACACCCCCTCCCCGCCAGGAGATTCCAGTGATCAGCCAAGCTTGGGGAATCGTGCTCATCAAGTCCACAATCTCTCATTTTACAGCTGAGGCAAATGCCTTGGAAAGGAATTTATATAGGTCTCAACTTAGCACAAGAAGCAGGACTAGGACTTGAGTCTCCTCCATGTCAGCCCACGACTCTTACCCAGGCTGAGTGCTATAGCCTGAAAAGGCAGAAGTCAGGATGGAACTTTGTTTTGGTTAAATACAGAAAAATGTTCATCTCATTAATCCAGAATTTTTTTTAATTATGATTTTTTACAAAATGTAACTGAGAAATGAGCTAATAGCTATAAAATTTATTTAAATAATTTTTTAATGAATATTTCATCTGTCTTATTATGATATATCTGTTAGCATTACCTTGTTAATTACACACAAAAATTAAATCTACCCTTCTATAGTTTATACCTCTCTGGTTTGGAAACACAAAATGCTGAAAAACAAAATAAAACACCTCCTCTGAACTGCAGTTTTGAGAAAGGCATGGCAAAACAGAGCACCACTCAAAGAGGCACGGGGTTGCCTAATTAGAACTGATCAATAAAGTAGCTTNACAGAGCACCACTCAAAGAGGCACGGGGTTGCCTAATTAGAACTGATCAATAAAGTAGCTTACCCTTGCTGGTGAGTCTCCTAGTTACAGGAATCAAACCCGTCTTAAGTTCTATCATGTGTACTCCTCAAAACACAACAATGAAAACATCACATTTTCCCACTCACACTTCATGGTTTCCTTCTCCTCTCTGACCATTTTGACAAAGCTGTTTTGTGTAGTTAAGATTTAGCCTTGGCAGATAATAAATACCTGGAGAGCAAGGTTGGCAACTTTTCCCCTAAAAGAACAGATTGTAAATTTTTTTGTAGGCTTTGCAGACCATACTGTCTCTCGCAACTACTAAACTTTGCCACTGAAGCTCAAAAGCAGCCATAGACAGTGTGAAAACAAATGGGCGTGGCTGTGTTCCAATAAACTTTATTTGCATAACAGGTACTGGGTCTAATCTGGCTCATGGACCATGTTTGCCAACATCTGCTATAGAATAAATAGGCGATTTAAAAAGATGCATAAGCACACACGCATGCACGCACACACACACATAAAAACTTATACTTCCAAATCAGCTTAATCCTTCTAAGCAGTGTGCCATTTCCCCCAGTGTTTTCATTGCTCAAAATGTTTTCAGATCCAGACAGAGCTGCTTTCAGGCCACTCACAATCAGTCATGTTATTTTGTAGAGGACACGATGTATAAAGTTTTCTAACTAAATTACTTTTTTCACTAAGACTGAAAATACAGTCAGAAGAGAAATAAACCTAAGGACGCATCAGAAAAAGAATATTTTAAGACTAAGTACCATTCAAGACAAAAGGTGACTATCCCAAGCTTGAACAGCTGCAACCAGCATTTCTCTACTGTAGGAAGGTAATCACTTACTTGCAGATAGTACAGGCAAAGCAGTTGGGATGGTAGGTCTTGCCCAGAGCAGTTACCACCTCGCCCTCCACGAACTCCCCACAGCCATGGCAGCGGGTCCCATACATCCGCTGGTAGTCCAGGGTGCAGAGATACTCCCCGTTCTTTATGAAGAAGCCCCCTTGGGCCAGGTCACAGCCACACACTGTAGAAAGACAAGTTCACATCTGTTCATCATCTGCCAAGCTGCTGGGCAGCAGTTGCCTTCTACTGAATGCTGGTCGCTTACTCTGTGATCTCAATGGTTTGGGGCTAGGGGAGGGGACTGGTACAAAGAGCTATTTATTATTGGGCTCTGATTTCTCTCTTGCCTCCTTCCCCCTGGGAGCTATGCAATATCTCATACAAGTAAAATCCCTTGGCTAGTTCTTAACGGCTTTTGTGGTATACCTTAGATTCAGAAGTAATCAAACAGCCTCTGACTCAAAGATACCCTTGGTTCAGGCTGTCTCAATGTGAACAAAGGTGTCCTTGGCAGAGCTATTTAGGAAAGGTGCCCACTCCTTGCCCACACAACTGCTTGGTTTGGGCCAAGATTGTTACTGAGGTGAGTAATAAATTCCCACTATACCGAAAGCAGTAGCTGAAATTTCCAGTAGCTATTTTTTCACACTCTGGAAATACTTTCCCATAGCTATGAAAAATTCAGATGTTTAATTTTCTTCTTGTGCAGTAAATAGGATAAGCCAATTACTTATATATTAGAGACAGAGATAAAAATGAACAGGCAAAAGAGAAGGAAAAAGGGATGTGTCCAAGATAAAACTGTCATTACAACCTCAGTACACGCAAAAGAGGACACTGTTGTGTCTGGATTTTGGCATCCCTTTCGAAATTGAGCAGCTGTAGATTATGCAGATGATGCTAACAGGCAGGTTCTGGAGTGCCAGAGGCTTGGGCCTGGTCTACATGTTCAGACAAGACCAGAGAATGTTGCTTTGCTTCCCAGAGATTTGTCACTCCTTTTCCCCTGGGTGACAGAGCCGCCAAAGATTAATCAAAGCCCATCTCTTCTGAGCAGTGAGAAGCCCTCAAAAAGGGGTTAATCTCCTGGAACCCTCAAGAGTGAGGCATTCCTTCCATTTGGGAAATTAACCAAGAACTGAGGTTCTCTTCCTGCATTTATTCTCCAGACCAGGAAGTTACAGGAAGAGAACACAGGTGGGTTTTTGCTAAGTACAGTTTAACAAGTTTAACAGTAGAAGCAGGTTACATTCAGTAAGGTGACATTGTATAATGCAATTTGCAACAAAAACTTGATTTTTGCAAACATTCTCTTCTTACAGCAATTTCCCAGTATCTTTACATATCAATCAGTAACCTGTCTTTGAGCCAGCAACCTTGCTGTGTTACAACTCTTTATTTTACAACAGAGACTATAGCCTGGGGAAAATTTCCTGTCCTTTGCAAGGTCAATATTTGAAACTGCAAGGCTTTGGAAAACCAGGCCCTGTGAAGTACATTTGCTTTATGCATACTTTACAAGAGAAGGTCACCACATCTTATTCACAAATAAAGCCTTAAGCTGTCCCCAAGAGAAAAAGTCACTGCCAAGTGACTGGGAAGCAACTGGCCAATGCTGGAAATCTCTAACCTTCACCTCTCTATTCCCAAGGTCAGGTGACTCCTACACAATGAAGGGCCTTAGGCAAAGAATCCAGGATTCTTCTTGATGATTCCTGCAAGCCACTAGAACAGGCACTCAACTAGGTGGGTACAGGTGAGTTCAATCACTAAATTGCTCTCCTAGGGACCTACTGAAACACTTCCAGGTTCCTCTGATTAGTTTCCCTGACTCATTAATGCACCTAATGCTGAGCACAGTAAGATTCTGACTGAAGTAACTATGCCCCACCCTCAGTTAGTACCCTTTCCTAATAGCAAGCTACTAAAGATAATCTAAGGTGACATGAAACCAACAAACAATTTCCACTGTGGATTCTCAGTCTTTGTTTACATCAACACTCCACAGCTATGACCTTCTTTGCAATGGACAATTAAGTAACCCAAGTCCGTCATGCCTGGAACTGACCACCCTATAAATACTACCATGATCATATCATCTGGAAAGCAGCTCATGCACCACCCGCTGCCTCCTCTAACCTGCCAGCGTCACCTTCTGCCCTCACTGTTCTCACACCTGCTTCTTCCTCACCAAATGGGTCCTACAAGTCAAGGGTACCCAAGTCTGGACTAGCCTTGTTCTGATTGCAAATTCCTTCAGCAACAATAAATTCCCAGCAGGTCACAGAACACCTCAGAGAGTTTTCTTCAATATCTTTCTATGTACCTATCTTATCTTCCTACAGGATGAGTTCTTCATGGGTAAGAGTCTTCATCTTAACTTCTTTTGATTTTTATTTAAGAACCTAACGGTATCTGATATAATACCGGAACATAATTTTTGAATTAAATTGTATCTTGCCTCAAACTTGGCAAGTTCCTGCCATTTCAGTGACATCAGCAGTTCTGATGACTCAGTTCCTCTTCCAAACTTAGGTGTTTCTCAAAGCCATGAGATGTGACAAAACAACGCATTTGGACTACTAGTGCAAAGTAAGGCAAATCATAACTAAAGCCAAAATGTTTCATTATTTTAGTTATTATTTTAGTTATACTAAGTTTCCATTTATGTTGTCAGAGCTAGGGCTCAGACCCTCCAAACCCATTGTACAGACTGGGTCACCCGGCCTCTCACATGCCAGGCTGGATCACTAGACCCCTCACACGCAGGTCCATGCTAGGTAATTAGGAAAGATTCCAGGAGTTGTTGGCAGATAACATGAGCTCAGTCCTCAGCTTCAGCAGCTTACAGGTTTGGTAGCTTACAGGTCCGGTAGCTTACAGGTCCAGTAGCTTACAGGTCCGGCAGTGGCCTTGCAGAGGGTCCCGGGGACACTAGCAGCAGCAGCCTCCAGCAGCAGTAGTGGCCCCCCCATGCTTGGCAAGATTCTGAACATCTGAGGGGCCCTGACCATTTTTCCTATATTTTCCCAACAACCAGTAACTCCCTTTATTCTCTCCTTCAATGAGCTGGGCTGGTTTGAAAATTCACAAAATTTATTATAAAAAGATCTAGTGGCAATAGGGTAATCTTTATGGCCACACAGATTGTTGAGACGGTTTCAGAGATAATTCTAAACGTACTAGAAATTGTTTGTTTACTGCTTCTTAGGGTACCACTGGGCAGCCTTTCTTTTTTTTTTTTTTTCCTTTTTTTTTTTTTTTTTTTGAGAGGCAAAGTCTGTGCTGCTTGACATACTTCACACTTTACGTTTCGTAAGAATGGACTGTAACAATCTCGGCTCCTTCCCTCTTTTCCTCCCACCCCTCAGCCCCCCAGTCTCCTCGGTCAGACTCCTAAATACAGGTAACTCCAAAAAATCCTTCCTTGATAACATAAGGCCTCCCTGGGAGCAGATCTCATCCACTCTCAACTTCAACTATGACTTTATGCAAAGGATTCTCAGTGACCTCTCCCTGTAACGTCTTCCATAGCTTTGGACCCTGAGTTGTACCTGCCTGCTAGGCACAGCCAGCATGCCTTTCTCAAAGCCAGCCTTTACAAAACAGACCCTATCCAATCCTTCTCTCCCCTCCCCCCTAAAACCTTCTGCTCCCCTTCTATCCCCTCTCTCAATAAAACAGCAGCAACAAACATTCTTTCACTCATACCAACATT